CGCTGTGCTATCGCTCCAGGTCCTGAGTTGGAAAACTGAGTTAGCACATATATTTGCAACGCTAATTTGTAATATGGGTATTGTCTAATATTTTTTACTTTGATAATTATTATATTTAATTTTGTGTGTATATGTGTATATATAACTCATGTATATATGAATGTATACACTGTGTGTGTATATATATGTGTGTATATGTAATTCTTATATGTATATGAATTAAACATTTAGGCCAGAAATAACACATCTGAGGTGCTTGTTGGTTTTGGATTGTTCAAACTCTGTGACTTATATCTTCATTTAGCATGTTGAAATGTTAAAATGACATTTGCTTAGGGCAAGTAGTTTGCTTTAACTTTTCATCTGAAAGTCATTTATAGACAAGAATTCTGCAGGAGGGGTGAGGGTGAGCAAAACACTCAGGGAATCAAAAGTCAAATGGTAGCATAAAGTTATGAATTGTGGAACCAGTTAACAAAGATTCCAGACTTTATTCCTTAAATAAATGCAATCCCAAACAAGCACAATCCTATATTTGTGTAAGAGTTAGCACATTAATCCTGATAACTCAGTAAAGTAGCATTGTGATAGAATACACCGAAAACATCATCTAATGTTTTAACAATTATTGAGAGCAATCTCAGCCACTGGTTTTCTTGAAATTCAATCTACTATGGTCAATGTATAGTATTTTCTGAGTACAAATTCATTTGACAAATAACTTACTGAGTGCCTGCCATGTGCCAAAAGTTTTGTGTTATTTAACACAGGAAGTACAGGATGAAGATGCAGCCTGTGCCCTCAATAAACTCGTAGGATGTTAGGGGAAATTTCATACCCACATGCTGAATTCCAGTTCTGTTAAAATGATACCGAAATTCTTCAGAGGGAATAAGGAAGATAACTTGAAGCAAGTAGCATTTGATCTAGATGAGATGACAATAAATAGTGTTATTGACTTTGTCCAATTACAGTAAGAAATGTGGTCTCTCATAAGCCACCTCAGTTAATGAGTCATAATCTCCACAGGAAGAAAGAAGAACAGGAAAGTGGTCCCAGCAGTCAGCCTTCAGACTAATGAATAATAGGACATTAAGGGTAGCCTGCAACTCCCTCTAGTAACTAGAAGTGAATGTCTATTGGTTTTCTTCTCTAATTATCTGTGCGGCAGTCACTCAGCATTTCTGTCTTGCTTCTACAGCACAGGTAGAGTGTATATATATCCTCATTTTACTCCTCAGGAGACAGAATCTGTCTCAACTCATTTTTGTTCAATAATGAGCACCCTGCTGCACAAAACTTGTGCCAGACACCTCAAGCCTGCTTGCCAGCCAGCAAATAAATAATTTTGGCTTCAGGGACTCATTTCTGATGTAATTAGTTGTGTCCAAGGAGGTAAAGTCACGGGGCACAGGACAATACCTCTCAAAATTGAGCATGCATATGAAATTGAGTATGCATATGAAATTGAACATGCACATGAAACTGGATATACATATGAAACACACAGGAGCTTTATGCAAGTTTATTCAGATTTAGCAGGTCTGCGATATGACAGAACTCCATTGTTGCTAATAATCTACCAGAGAAGCTAATGTTGTTCCTTCTACCACATAGTGAGTAGAAAGGATGAGCAGGCACTCCGTGAGTACCACAGATGAGTATCTTACTCAGAAGTCAGGCACTCTGTGTGTGTGTGTGGGAGGGCCATGGCTCTGAGATGGCCTTTCATGTCGAAGATTAAGTATAAATAAAGGAGTGGAGGGAGATGTGGTGTGGGTGTCTGTGTGGTTTTTCCATTTTACTAGGAGGCTGAGTTTTAATTGTTAAGTACGGTGTTTTCAGGGGCTGGAGCGATAGCACAGCAGTAGGGAGTTTGCCTTGCGTGCGGCCGGTCTGGGCAAGCCAGGTTCGATTCCTCTGCCCCTGTCAGAGAGCCCAGCAAGTTACCGAGAGTATCTTGCCCGCACGGCAAAGCCTGGCAAGCTACCCGTGATGTATTTGATATGCCAAACACAGTAACAGCGAGTCTCACAAAGGAGACGTTACTGGATCCGCTCGAGCAAATCAAACAAACAACTGGAGGACAGTGACAGTGAGTTAGGGGATATAGGAAACTATTTGGGCTGAAGCTATAGCACAGTGGGTAGGGTGTTTGCCTTGCATGCAGCCAACATGGCTGACCCAAATTTGATTTCTCAACCCCTCTCGGAGAGCCCGGCAAGCTACCGAAAGTGTCTTGCCGGCACGGCAAAGCCTGGCAAGCTTATGTGGCATATCCAATATGCCAAACACAGTAACAAGTCTCACAATGTTACTGGGCCGCTCAAACAAATCAATGAACAATGGGAGGATAGTAACAGTGGTATTTTCAGAGTAGGTTGTCAGTATTTCCATAGTTCAGATGCAGTCTCTGAATAGCAAGATTGTTGGGACTGAATGTTGGTCCTTTTTATTATTTCACTTCATATATAAAGTCATCCTTGCATCCAGCTAACCCAGGTTTGATCCCCGACATCCCATATGGTCCCCAAGCACTGCCAAAAGTAATTCCTGAGTGCAGAGCCAGGAGTAACCCCAGAGCTTCACTGATTGTGACCCCCAAACCAAAATATTCAACGTGAAGGACAGTGAATTGTTGGGTCTGAATTTGTTCCTCCTTGTCAATTGAGAGCATGATATAAAGTTCCTCTGGGTGGTTGCTTGGTTGTCTACCAAGGGAGTGTTGGTAGAAGAGCTGGGTGCATTGAGGGCTTGAGTGTACCAGCAGCAGCCCTGGCAGTGCCAGGGATCAAACTCAGGGCCCTGCAGATGCTATAAGTGTGTTGTCCCATGAACCATGTTCCTGTCCTCCAAAGATGCTTTTTAACAATACTGAAGTTTAATGATTTAGAACTCTGAATTGAGTCTGAGAGATTTTCACCAGAATTAAATATTCAAAACCTCCTTTGCATAATCACAGACACATGACTTTTTGACTCTTTCCTACTTCATTCCTTACATTTGAAAATCATATTCTTACTAGTCCCATTGCTCTTCCTTGTTCACAATTATGGGGGGAATGGTCATTTTCATGTGGTTTTACTATCTGTTGCTCGTCTATTTTATTCCTTTTGCTTTTATAATGAAAGACTTTCATAACTAAAAAGGAGATAAAAGTGCTTGTTTTTAAAACTATAGAATAATATCCCTTTTTAAAAAATAAAGGAATCTTGATTTAGGGGAGTAAAATCTTTGAAAGGCACTTCCACGTTCGCCCCATGTTAATAATTATGTAGAAATCTGACTTACTGAATAGTTTAATCACATGAATTTTGACGTCCACATTTTAAGTTTTTAATTCTCAAAAAAAGAATAGTGTGTAGTATGAAGCAGCATTTTGGCCCCTCAAAAAGAAAGCTGGTTTTAGAATTATACAAACCCATGTTGACTTTCTCCTTAAAACATACTTCCTAGAAGACTGTAAAGATAATACAATGGGTAGGGTGTTTGCCTTGCCCACAGCTAATCTGGGTTTGATCCCGGATTTCTCATATGGTCCCCTGAGTGCTGCTCAGAGTCATTTCTGAATGCAGAGCCAGTAGCATCCCCTGAGCATCACAGGATGTGACCCCAAAACCAAGAATATGAAATTTAAAAAAAAATACTTTTTAGACCCTTAGAAATAGCTTAACAGACTAAGCATATCTTTGCGTATTGGCAGCCTAGCCTTTATCCTCAGCACTGCAAGGTCCCTCATGCCCCACCAGAGTCGACACCACATCACAAAACCAGGATTAGCCCCTCAGCAATGCCAGATGTATCCTCAAAACAAAACAAAACAAAAAAACTCCACATTTTCTCTACTACTGTGGGCAAGCTTCTTAATCTTTGAACATGTTTTCTCATCTGTGAATTTGTAATAGTTATACTTCCAGAAGTATTTTAATAAGATAATTTGTGTAATGCATTAATATAAATACTATCCTCTAACAGATTTTAATATAATATGAGGATTCTGTGAATATTTTTAAAGTTATGTTTATATATTTTTAGAGCATGAGCACCAGAAATAGCGTGTCATGCAGAGTAAAGGAAATCAGATAAAATGTTCTTAATGTAAAGTGGAAGACAAATATTTCCAGTGAACATGCATGAACTTTCATTTTGTTTCTGTGCCACATCTGGTGGTGCTCATGGTCTACTCCAGGCTTTGTGCTCCAGAGACACTCCAGGCAGTTCTCAGGGAACCAAATATGGTACCAGGGATTCAACTGGGCTCAACCACATTGAAGGCAAGTGCCTTACCTCCTGTACTATCTTTCTGACCCATTTGCACACACACTCTTACACACACTTTGTCACAGTGAAAATCAAAAGGCATCTTTCTCTTGGTTTTAGGTTTATATCACAATATTACCATACCACCAGATTTTTTTTATGATACCCTGTCTTATTTATAATCCTGTAACTGGATTTATAGCAATACCAGAAGTATCCACTATTTCAGAAAGGTGCTTCATAGCCAGTGTTCTGGTCATAGTTCACTGGCTGGACATTTTTTCATTTGATGAAGCATCAACGGGAAGCATCGATGGACCATGATTTTATGAAAGTAAATGAAGCCATTGTTAAGAGCCAAGGAAATACCTGAGCAATTGGTTCAAGAAAAAGGTGAATCTAAGGGCAGCAGGCTGAGTGTATAGATGTGGGCATTGTGGAATTACAGATTTCACTCCGTGCTTCAATTTACTTAAAGCCAGATTGATTTTCAAAAGTTCCCAAGTGTTTAATTTGAGTATAATCTGCAAAGAACCTAATTTTCCTTGCCAAAACAACTATTTCCTTTTTTAATTATAGAATAATTGTACCACATTGCGGTTCAGGTCTTGTATAAATAGAGGGAAATACTTACATAAGGACAAATAATAATCTTGTCGCTGATTTAGCCACGTATCATCGTGCTTACCCTTTTTGACACTGAGTATATCTGCTAATACTTATAATTTTTCTTCACACAGATCCAGTGCCCCACTTGCCAATTTGTCTGGTGTTTTAAGTGCCACTCTCCTTGGCATGAAGGTGTTAACTGCAAGGAGTACAAGAAAGGAGACAAATTGTTGCGTCACTGGGCCAGCGAAATTGAGCATGGACAGAGGAATGCCCAGAAGTGTCCCAAGTGCAAGGTGAGAGCCCCTTTAGGCAGAAAGAAAAGAAATTACACATCTGAATATCACTGAATAATAATACTATATCAAGGTGACTTATATTTCTAACATTTGTAACAGGTGTGGAGAAAATAATACATGCTTTTTAATTTATTTGGGGGTGGGTGGGCCACAGCTATGATGCTCAGGACCACTCCTGGGTTTTGTGAGTCAATAAATACCATGTGGTGCCAGGGATTGTTAAACTGACAAGAACAGTTGCTACACTTGATCTTAGCCAAAAGGCCAAGGAGCAATGGGATGCCAAGGATTGTGCCCAGGCATCTTGCATGCAAAGCAGGTGGTCAGCTCTCTGAGCAGTCTCTCTGGCTTCATGCAGTTTCATTTTACAAAAGTAACTATATTACATAAACTAGATTTTTTTGTATGTAAGCTACATATAATGATTATTTGTGTCACATTTCAGTGTTGAAGGAGACTACATATACGTTTTTTATCTTAAATTTCAAAATTTCAAAGTTCTTTTTTTTTTCTTTTTTTTTTTTCCTTTCTGGATCACACCCAACGATGCACAGGGCCACTACTGGCTCTGCACTCAGGAGCCACTCCTGGTGGTGCTCAGGGGACCATATGGGATGCCGGGAATCGAACCCGGGTCGGCCGCGTGCAAGGCAAACACCCTACCTGCTGTGCTATCTCTCCAGCCCCCAAAGTTCTTATTTTCCATTAATAAATGTAGGCATATGCATAGAGAATAGCTAGTATAAAACAATACATAGTTGTTGCTTTTACAAGTACTATAATAATTTCTGAATAAGTCAGGTTCTGGACCTCTCTGCAGTCCTCTACTATTGTCTTCCTCTGCTATTGCTCATCGCATTAGAATTACTTTAAAATTGATCTCCCCCCATCCCCTTCTTTTTTTTAGTACTTGGTAAGATAGAAGTTAATACTAAAATCAGGACTTAGGGATTTTGTGAATCCCATCTTTACTTTTTTTTTTTTAATAATCCTGCAAATAATCAAGGATTACCAGGTATTTGGACTAAGTCCCAGATGTCTTAATTAACCATGCAAAAGAGCAGAGAGGTGGTGCTCAGGGGACTAAACTTAGTAGCTCCAGAATTTAAGGGCTCCAAAACAAAAACCAAAAAACTAACTTTTCAACTATTACTTGAAGTGTTGAATAGCCACACTCAGTAGCTCCCTACTTTTCATGCAGGAGGCCTAGGTTTGATTCCCAGCAACACATGGTTCTCTGAGCACAGAGCCAGAAGTAACTCCTGAACACCACCAGGTGTGGTCCCAAAGGCAAAAAAATAAAGAGAAGGAGAAAGAAAACTCGGTAAATCTATCCACCCAGAAAACTCTGTGTTTGAAGCTACAAGGATAGGGATCTACTGAAGCTTAATTTTTTTTTAAGCTCACTATAGAAAATTATATGTATGGACATATTTATGTATACTCTGACTCATGTGATTTCTACTTTTCTTTGTCAAATTGATTTTTAAAATTATGTTTAGATTGGGCCTAGTTGTCTTTTAAGAACAATGTAGCCATTCCTTCCTAAAGACTTATTACCAGGTTAATTGAATTGTTTTTTAATTGAATCACCATAAGAACAGTCACAAAGCCTTTCAGTTCAAGTCTCGGTCGGTCGTACAATGATCAAACACCCGTCCCTTCACCAGTGCACATTTTCCACCACTAAGAACCCCAGTATACACCCTCCACCCCCTGCCTGTGTGGCAGATTTCCACTTGACTCTCTCTTTCTACATTGATCACATTCAATATTATGACAAAAGACCCAACATTATTATTTGGAATCTTCCCCAACATTCAGACTTGCCAAAAAGATATCATTAGATAATTTGTTTTCTATTGCTGAGTATGAAGAGTATATGATGTTGTGTGGCCGGAATAGTGGCCACGCGAATTTGGGTTTCTGATATTTTAGTAATAAGCCTAGCGGGATTACTGCCAAAAGCCCCTGGGTTCTGAGATTTTGGTTTGTGTGCCTCTGGGATCATGGTTGTTCAGAAGCCAGAGGAGGCGTTTGTGGGTGGCAACCCGGGGCATTGTCATGGCAGGGAGCAGGGCGGATTCCACCCCGGGTTAATTGAATTACTGGATTTTTTTTTTACTATTCTCTAACTCAGTGTCTTTATTAATATATATTTTTTAATTGAACCACTGTGAGATTCACAGTTACAGGGTTCATGATTGGGGTTCAGTTATACAATGTTCCCAACACCCGTCCCTTCACCAGTGTACATAATTATTGGAACATTGTTTAATTATTAACCTTTTTTTTTTTTGCTTTTTTTGGGTCACACCCGGCGATGCACAGGGGTTTCTCCTGGCTCTGCGCTCAGGAATTACTCCTGGCGGTGCTCAGGGGACCATATGGGATGCTGGGAATCGAACCCTGGTCGGCCGTGTGCAAGGCAAACACCCTACCCACTGTGCTATCACTCCAGCCCCATAATTATTAACATTTTTAACTGGATTTTTTTTAGGTCCTAAAGATAAATTCTGAAGCCTATTGAAGAATGTAAATATAATGTAGAGGTTTAACATGCAAAATTCCCAAACTAACTAAAACAATTTTTTGTTTTCCCAGTAAAAGGCAAATTCATCCAGAGTTGTCCTTTTGATTTTAGCTGAGTGAGATCACTGTGTCATTTACTTAGTATACTTCTACTTTTCTTTTCCATTGATGAAAGTAAGCCCTTTTCCTCTTTGAAAGTAAGCCTTTTCAATTTATTCAAATCTACTATTTAGTTTCAAGTCACAATAAAGCCACTAAGCATTATGTAGTGCTGGTAAGTCAATCTACTTAACACTTTATTCATAAGTACACATAGTATTGGTCTGGCATGCTGTAAAAACAAATACCAGCTGCCTGGCTCTGAGACTGTCTGCTGAATGAGCATTCTGCACTAGGGGAATTCTGAATGAATTGAGGTAATAAAAACATCTATGTTAGTGAAAACCTGTGAGTAGAAAGATAAAGTAACCAAATAGGAGAGATTTACTGAATGCTCCAACAAGGTCCTACAGTTTAAACCAGTATTAGAACTAAAGAAAATGCATACACACTAGTTTCCTTTTGATGTAATAGTTGAGTTAGTTTTTTCGTTTTTGCTTGGGGGCCACACCAGATTTATTCCTACCTATGCTCAGGGCTCGCTATTCCTTTTGAAGTAATGGTTGCATTAGTTTTTTTGGTTTTTCCTTGGGGGCCACACTCAGGTTTATTCCCACCTGTGCTCTGCCCCAACCTTCCCTTCAGCATGGGAGAGGCCCAAGCATGCCAGTGTGACCTTCCTGGCCCCTGCCCGGGCTCGGGGCGCCCCAGGTCAGGCGGCCTTGAAAGTCTTGGCTGTCTTGGGCCGGCCTGGTTACCTCGTGGCGGCCCTGAGGGAACCTTCTCAGGGGGTTCTGAGGTGGGGTGAGGCGAGCCTCCTCAGTCCTGCGGGCCGAACTCAGGAAAGGCTTAGTGAACCTCCACAGGGTGGTGTCACTAGACCCTTTTGCAGGTGGCGAGGCGGGGGCTATAAGGAACTGAATGGTAATGCTGGAGACAAAGAAAGAACTTTAAAGAGCCTGAGTTCTGAAGAATCTACCAACCCTATTTCTAGGGTCCTCAGTGGCAACTAACAGGTTGTAGACACTAACCTGAAGCAGACTGTAAAGATCAGCACTTTGGGGAAAGCAGGAATTAAAACCCAGAATTTTATTCAGAAAACCAGTATGGACAAAAAGAATGGAAAATCTTACGAAAATGAGTCTGGAGAGAGCCAGTCTGTAGACAAGACTGATACTGTAGCTATTCCAAATGGTGTTGTAACAAATAATTCTGGCAATATTACTAATGGTTTTATGGGCAAAGGAGCAGATAATGATGGTAGTGGATCTGAGAGCAGATATACTACTCCTAAAAAAAGGAAAGCTAGGCACAGTAGTGCCAAGGGTTGTGAAAACCTTAATTTAGTGCAGGACAAAATAATGCAAGAGGCCAGCATCCCAACCTTAAAACAGGGACTTGAAACTTTCAAGCCTGATTGCAGTGAGCAAAAGGGAAATTGAGTAGATGATTCAAAGCCCATTTGGAAGTATGAAACTGGGCTGTTGGGACAAATAGAGGAAAACCTGCTATGGGTGATATGCTATGGAAAAGCTCTGATATTAAACCTGGTGTGAGCAGCAAAAAGTTTGATGATTGACCCAAAGCAAAGCATGCTTCTGTTACTTCCAAAGAGGACTCATGGACCCTGTTTAAACCACCTCCAGTTTTTCCAGCGGACAATAGCAGTGCTAAAATAGTTCCTAAAATAAGTTATGCAAACAAAGTTAAAGAAAACCTCAACAAAACAGTACAGAACTCTTCTGTGTCACCTTCATCTTCATCCTCTTCATCATCTACTGAGCAAACTCAGACCCAATCTTCAAGTCGGTTGTCCCAGGTTCCTATGTCAGCGCTGAAATCTGTTATTTCGGCCAGCTTTTCTAATGGGCCTGTTTAGCAGGGACTGATGCAACTGTGTATTCTCCAGAGGGTCAGCCACTGCTAACTACTGCTGCTAATACTCTAACACCCATCTCTTCTGGAACTGATTCAGTTCTCCAGGACATGAGTTTGACATCAGCAGCTGTTGAACAAATTAAGTCTAGCCTTTTTATCTACCCTTCAAATATCCAACTGCGCACAAGTGGATCTGCCCTCACAAACAGATCAGCAAAACCTGGGAGATATCTTCCAGAATCAGTGGGGTTTGTCATTTATAAATGAACCCAGAGCTGGCCCTGAGACTGTTATTGGGAAGTCATCTGATCATAAAGTGATGGAGGTGACCTTTCAAGGGGAATATCCTGCCACTTTGGTTTCACAGGGTGCTGCTGAAATAATTCCCTCAGGAACTGAGCATCCCCTGTTTCCCAAGGCGTATGAGCTGGAAAAATGGACTAGTTCTCAAGTTCTGGGTAGCATTCTAAAATCTGGGACTACTAGAG